GGTGTGGGAGAGCTTCCAGCAACGCTGCACTGAGTGGGACCATTATATTATTAATAATAATACTGGTGGAAGTGGTGCTGACAGTTGATAGTTGTATTGTTATTAACAGATCATTGGTCCAATAGATTTTCCAGTCTGAATTTTATGAACAGTTTCATTGTGATAGTTAAGTTTCTAAAGATTCAATCACATTAACATTCAGGTTTTTAAGGGGAGCCTTGTTTCTGTGGTGGTGTTTCTTCAAAAATAAGCATATAATGTCTAATTGTCATTTCATATCATTTTGAAAACATAAAATTAAGTATATCTGCTGAATACTATACAATAATCAGATGAAGACAATTAGTCTGAATCAAACTGGAAAAGAGCAGAACTATATGCTTGGAAATTGCATACTTTACTTCAAATAATCTAGAGCAGATTAAATTTCAAGAATAACCTTAAAATTGTTTTTGTACTTCTGGGGCCCCATAAGTTAGGAATATCATGGGATGAAATAGATCCCAAATTTGTCTTCATGAGTTGCAATTATTGGGGAGCTTCAAAAATATTAAAACCTATTCCTAAACATTGTTTCAATTATTTGGGGGCATGGCCATATATTTGGAGGCTTTATTACATACCTAGGTAATTCTCACATGCAAACAATTTAGGAATCACTGTAACTTATTCCTACCCGGGATGCATGCACATCAATTGGACTGTAATTCATATTTTAGAGTAATAGCTTACTGCTCCTTGTGGCATGCAAAACTAAAACTTCTTTAGCAAAAATGTCTCCTTTTAGAGCAACCTTCTATGCAAAGACTGCTTAAGTTAACACATAGGACAATAACTAGATTGTATATATAACAGCTTTAATAAAATTAGCCCTAAGCCAAAGTATGCAAAAGGGAAACTTTTCTCATGCATCCTGGTCCCCATCCTTAGCACATGCCTGGCCCTTCTCACCCTTAGTTCCCTGACACTGCTGGTGGCTAGTCCCCCTGCAGGCCTTGGGCCCAAAGGCAACCACTTCCAACAATGTGATCTTCAACCTGCAGACTGAAGTATACCTTCTGCTGAGAAACAGCACAGAGGTGGGAAGGGCAGCAGCAAAGGGATGAAGGAAAGGAGGCGGCACAAGGACACGAGACGGAAGGACAAAAAATATGGTCACAGAAACTGCTTCACAAACAATACTTACGAAAAAAATACCCTAATGCCATCAATTCTATTCTAACCTATTTCCTTAGAAAAGAAAACTAGCAATGACCTCCCTAACCGATTTTATGACTCAGTAACGGGACACAACCTAGAGTCCACTGCTGCTTTATCTTCACTCTCTCTCCCCACCTATCCCTGCTGAAGCTGAGTCTTCCTACTTCTGGTTGAACCATGGGTTCAACTCCAATACATGATTTTTGAAATTTGTTTATATATATATATATATATATATATATATTATAATGTCTTATATGCTTTAAAATTTTGTGTTGCTTCAAACATTTTATGGAATAAGAGTTATCTGGCATAAATAATGAGCAAGGTAAAAATGCTAGTCATGCATCCTTTTCCTTGGGGAACATCCTTTCCATGTGTCTCTCAAAGCACTAATCTATTCTGATGAATGCAAATGAAGGGTAAAGACACATTTCCAATACCTTCCACTCATTCCTGGATAACAAGGTCTATTGCTGTTTTTCAAAATAATTGCCTTGCTTTTCATCATCTAACAGACAGAAGCAATGGTGGAGATGCTAAGTCAAATAAAATGAAAACACAAACTCTGGATAAGTAGAAGAGATCTTGATTGAAGTGCCGCCTTACCTATAACACAGATAATTTCCAACTTTACTGACTAGTAAGGCTAGCACATAGTTGGAAAAGATGAAGTGAGATAAGTCTCAAAGGCTTTCTTTTTCCAATAAGCATTTTTTAGTCTTTTAAAAATACTAAAAAAAAAGATTATCTTATATATATATATATATATATATATATATATATATATAAAATGCTAGAGCTTCCTTCATTTTTTATTTTTGTTGCTGTTGTTGATTCAAGATCTTGCTACTCAGTTCAGACTCATACTGATCCTCCTGTCTCAGCCTTCCCAGCACTGGGATTACAGGCATGCAGCACCACACCTGGTTCCAGGGCCAGTATGGCATGTGGTACCAGAGATCAAACTCGGGTCCTTGTGCTTTCCAGGCAGGCGTATAGACTGCCTACCTATCTTCCCAGCCCCTAGAGCTTCTTTTATAACAAAGGGAAACCAGTGATTCACAAGAACTAGCAAAAGATTTAAATGGTTTAATTTCACAGGAACCACAAATTCAGTCCCAGTTAGAGAACTCTTCTGTTTCCTTCCTAAATTATTTTTAAGACAAACTCACAGATACATGGTTATTTGCTTCTCTTTATCTGAAATCCTGTGATAGCTCTAGGCTTCCACGTGGCAGTGATAGAGTGAGAAAAAGTATAAGAATGGCTGTTGAAGAGTTAAACTATGCTCCCAAGAGAATGGCCACATATATGCATGTTCCTATACACACTGGACATTATGAGAACACATAATCTATATTGTAAGCACTCTTAAGTTCGCAAAAGTATAATTCAATGAAATAGGATCAGAGTTTTCATCTTACTCTTTCTTATATTCTGTGCTCAAATCCTTAACTTCAGATGAAATTTTCTTCTCTATTGTTTTAGAAAATTTGATATATTTCTTGTTTTCAGTATTTCTTGATGGCAAGATGGTTGTGAAAGAATCAGATCCCTTATCTGATAAGTCAATATTTTCTTCTGCCTGGCAACAATAAACACAATCATTCATGTTTTCTTTGCACATGTACATTAAATATAACATTCTGTGCCAAGTAATTAATTCATTTTAGATCAATATGCCTTTTAAATATTCCTTTTTAAATCCCTTTTGTTCAAAGATATTTCATTCACTAGTGATTATTATCCTAGGTTAAGTACATAACCTAAATATTAGTTTTTCTTATTGCATTATACACTTATAAAATGCACAGCATTCATGAATATAGCCAACAATATCTGAATCAAATTTTTAAAGTATTAGTTGCAAAAGTTTACTACCTCCTTTACAAAGCAATAATTTTTATCAAAATTAAATACATTTCAGATGCAAACTAAAGTCATAATATATGAAAAAAATAACTAATCAGGTAAATGCAATTAAAATTTAGAGCTTCTGGTTTGTAAAAAGCACCATCAAAAGAATGAGACTTCAAGCCACAGAGAGAAAATGCTCACAAAGCATGTAACTGATAAATCACAGCACCCCAAACCACAGAAAACTTTTTTTTTT